CCTCTACAGTAATTACTGTAGCCAATTGGCGAAGGGTAGGAATAGGAACCATCAATTTCTCGAACGAAGCACCGTATGTGTCTTGGGTCATGCTATGACATTGAGTACCAATGTCAAATGGACCGGCCCAGGTTTTTAAAAAGGGGTAAGTAAGGTACTCCGTACCTTAATTTTAGTGGGTTTGTTGTTGTATGCTTTTGAAATGGAGTATCATGATAAAGTCGCCTCATGAGGTGATTTCATCCTAATACTTCATTTCAACATCCCCTACAATCATACTTACTAATATATTTTTGCCAAATTCCGTAGTCAATTTTTTCTCGATTTCAAATTGCCGAAATAAATAGTAACAATCTGTTGATGATTACCTGGGCACCGAGGCTGCAGTGATGAGGATAATCTGTAGCAGAATGAGAAGGTAACTGAAGGTGTTAATAATCATACATCACTCAGAATTAAGCTAGACATTCATAATTATATGGTACTTCAAGTAACTAAGAAGCTACATTAAGTGTTTCCCAAAAAACGAACTACAGAAAATCTTGTAAGAAATGAAGCTTTCTGGTCTGATTTTGTCTGGTTATCTTGAGTGAAATATAAAGTCACTTTCTTGTAAAGTTTGAGTGTGTCTGGTATGATATGGTCTAATTAAACTAAGAATAAATAATGCATGTGTGATTGAAAACAAAGTTTACTACATTTAACCATTTCAAACTCAGTTTTACAGTATTGCCCATCCCCTCTTTTATAATCTTGTCCCTTCATTTCCATTACTAGCCTCCTTCAACCTCAATCCAAACACATTGTAAGGTGTAATCCTATGTTATAACTGAACAAGTAAACATCAAATAGAATTTGAACAAGAAAAAAAAATCGGGGTTTGAGAATAAATCAACGTACACAGTGACGATGGTGTTATTGACATAGCCACCATAACTGCAAGAGGTCACATTGCAACCCCCGGGCGTCTGCTGCGCAGTAACATTCCCAAGCATTAGATTGCTGTTTCTGCATTGCATGCTTGTGCAAGAAACCTCCATCGAAGCAGGCATACAGCGCAAACTGTGGAAGGTCAGCAGCAAATTGGCAAGTAAGGCTACAGATAGACCACATTAAATCTTTACTGAAATATATAAACATAAACACACACACACACATAGCAAAGAAGTGTTCCGTACTCACTTGCGACTGTCGGGCCCACAACTGCACTGCACACAGCGACCTGCTGTTATGGAATAACTCCCACTGGGCACAGATAATGCAAAATCCGAGGCGTATCGTGGAAAGTTTGATGGACAAGCTAGAAAAAATTGTTTTCTATCATTAATAAATATGTACTCCTTTGTCCCAATTTTGTTCGTCTCATTCTTTTCTATAAAACTTTCAGTTTCTTACTCCACAAGCTCAGTCAAAGTAAGCACAACAAAACAGGATGGGTTGATAGTAAAGGAATTTGATGCTAATTCGGGTGCATTGATAAAAAATAATGCAAAGAACTCAAAGTCCTTTTATAGGTTCAAGCATGTCTAGCTAAGCCAATTTTGCAAACCCAAGCCTGTTTATGCATAGTAAAACCAGAAATGGCATTTGTGGAGAAAATCCATTACCATTTTAAGTTGATGCTTTTATCATGAAATTGAACTATACTCCAACTTCAATGAAAAATTCAAATAGGTTTCTTATAAATCCAAGTTCTCCATTGATAACAAATCATCAATAATCAGTAATCTCCTCTCAAGCAAATGCAAATCAATATGGGGCTATCAAGAACAAAATGTTAGAATACCACATCAACTAACCAGCTCAAACAAAAGATTAAGTTTATGCTTAGAGAGGTCCATGAAAGTTTAAAGCTCATACACATGACAAGATGAGAAAGATAACAAATAAAAAAGAACAAGTAAAGGATAATGGCTTAAAAATGAGCATAATTCACTTCACTCCAAACATGAAAGATTACCAGGCAAGGGAATGGCGATAACGTCCCCAGCTTCAGTCTCATTGGTCCCAAGGTTATTGTAAGTGGTGAGGTCATTGACTGTGGTGGAATAGTTCCCCGCAATCGTGGGTAGGCTGTCGGTTTCCTGGACAACATAGGACATGAAAATGGCCGGAATGTTGTTGTCAGTTCCGTTGAAGCAGGTGCAGGGGAGGGGAATCCAGAGCTCAGTTCCCACGCCGAGGGTAGAAGGGTCGGAGCCGATGGCCCGGGGGTTTCCCTCCTTAATCTGGTCGCCGGAGACGAGGCCGGAGTACACGGTGGCGGCGATGTAGTCAGGGGTGTCGGAAAGCCGGGAGGTGTACTTAACGGAGCCGGATTTGAAGATCCCGTCGATGCAAGAGCACGTCACGGGGACCTTGAGGAAGGCGTCCTTGGGGAGGATCAGGTTTTCGACGCCCGGCGGCGAAATGTCGATGGCGTTGGTGAGGAGGAGGGCGATTGGGTCGGCGTTGAAGAGCGCCGCCACCTCGGAGACTTTGAGGTCGGTGTAGAGAGTGTACCCGACGAGGGCGGAGCAGGGGGCGGCGCTCGAGCAGGGTTCGATGGTGGATTTGGAGACTCCGAGGGGGATTCCGGCGAAAAGGACCGCCGTACCGATGACAAGCAGATGGAACATTCCGGCGGAAATGGGGGCTTGGGTTCGCATTGTCCGGCGGAGAGCTATAGAGAGAAAAGTGAGTGGGGGACAACTCTCTCAGCTTTTGTCTTGTGTAATGTTGAGTTCAAATTTTTAGTGACAGTAGAGTGCAAGTGACCCTTCTGCCCTTAGTGACGGCGACGAGGAAAACAATTTGAAATATTACCAAATGTGTACTCCAAATGTACATCACTCCCCTTTCTACCATTCATTTTATTTTTTTTATTTTTTATTTTTATTTTTGATTTTTTTGCTTTTTTTTGTGGTGATGGAGGGGGTGGGGGATGTTTGGGGTATACTTTTGGTGTACCCCTAGCATTTTCCTTTGCACTAAATAGTACTAAAATACTATGTATAAATTATTTCTCTAAATGATATTTGAATTGTTTTTCTTTTAAATAACATTTATAATGTGTATAATGTCCAGTGATGACCAATATTTATTTGAATAATGACTAAAAGTGCTAGATTAGGAAAAAAAACACATGTAATGCTATTTAGGAAAAGTCATTATGTTTTAGTGTTATTTTAGTGTAATTTACGTAAATTTCCCAAACTATTAATCGAACCCAATATGTTAAGAATTACTCCACTTATAATCCTCACCTCGTTCCAAGAAGAATATCATGGTAACTATTTTAGTTTAAAAAATCTCTCTGGATAGAAGTAAAAAAGTAAGAAAAAACCAAAATAGACGTCGTAAATATTTTAAGACAAAAATATGAGTATAATGGCATTACGGTATAAGAAGTGATGGCAGTGTAATATATCGGTGTCATCAATCAATCGTCGGTAAATCGCAGCGGCACTCTGGTGGGCGAAGGCGACATATGGAAGTGTGGCGGTGATTCTGTAGCAGTGTAACAATGACAATGTAAAATTAGAAGAAGTTAGAAAATGTTAAAAAAATAAAGTGTTAAAATGTCACTAAATTAAATTATCACCAAGCGAAATATGTAAGAAAACTAAATTTTAATATAAAAAAGAATTCATGTTTAGTATTTGAGATAATGAGATGTTATGTTATAAATTTAGATATATGGTGTTATTGCATAAAATGATGGTGTAAATATAGCGGGGTGGGTTAACCGGGTTTGACCTGGACACACTCGACCCGCAATATAAAACACACAACAAGAACACAAAGTATGACCTAGACCGGGTAAATCTCCTCAGTCCGAATTATATTTCTTACTCTATCTCAAGAGTGAACTTTAGTGAGAGGAAAATTGGATCCCCTCCTCTATCAAATATCATCATATTTATAGAGGAGGATTTGTGACCCTCCCCTGTTCATCCATGGACAAAATAGGAAGCTCGTGGGAAGGTCACTGTAGATAATGGAAGCACTGTACAATCATAGAATTTAGCAACTATAAACCAAGACATGTACTGTTCAATCAAAGACTATAGATGGATATTCTCAATCCAATCAGCCCTGCAAATTGACAAACATCCCTTTCACTGTTTGTCTTATGATGGACGAATGGCGGGGTGGTCCTTCGATCTTTGACGTGGTTCACCATGCCTGAGATACTGGACCGATGTTTGTCAAGTAAGATGATATGACCGGTCACCTTTTCTGAAAGGTTACCCGGTCATTTCTTGCGCTCAACCCGTCTCTTTGGTCTTCTAGAATGTCCTTCGTAGAATAAGGTAATATTTTCGCTATCGCCCAAAATGTGACCGGTCACTTTTTTAGTGGAAGTGACCGGTCAACTTTTGACCCGTCCCAATCGAAGAGTTAACCTCATTTGGTGATTGATAAAAGTGACCGGTCATATTTTGACCTGTCCCTTTTGGTTGTCCGGGTCGGGTATAGGGATATACCCATCAGTAATCATACATAAATACATTTTTCATAAACAAAAGATATAAAAGCATGTTTACTGGAGTCAAGATGTCTGAATTTCCAATGGACAGCTTATTCAGTAGAGTCAATGATCTCAGTAGTCACCTTATTCTTATTCCGTATCACCCATATTTTACCTAGAGGATGAGATTTACAATTTGTGAAATATCCCCAACCACCAAACATCTTATTTAGAATTTCTTCCTCTTCATTCTTCTTTATCTTAGTTTCTAATATATCCATAAGACATACTTTGTATTTATTAATAATTCTAATAACTTCCCACTGCTTAGTGGGATTATTAAGTCCTCTCATGTTCCAGCACAATATCATGAAAAGAAAAGGTAATGACCATCATAAAAGGTGTTTTCCCTTACCCCTATATCCTTCAATATCACTCTCGTGACTGCTTTCCTTCCACTTACAATTTGAAAACCATCTTGGTCCTTCTAAGCCTGCCTAGGCTTATCTGTGGTGTCTGTCTTCTCTATCCTTTCACCATTTTCAGCTTCCTTATTCCTTGCTTTCTTTTGCTTTGGGACCCAAATTTTCTTCTGACCCCCTCTTTGACCCTTCTGATCCTTCTCTTTATTTCTACATTGTAGTGAATCATGTCTCAGCTTATTGCAATGGTCACACAGAATAGGTTTCCACTCATAAGCAACTTCTTGAGTGATAACCCTATCATCCTCATCCACAGACTGTACCTTGTCAGGGAATGATTGGTGGACTTGAACTTCAATCTGGATTCTGGAAAAATTCCATTTAGCGTTAGTTGCAGTAGCTTTATCTCATTTGATAGGTTTTCCAATTAGGCTACCCAATTTGTTTAGCCCAGATAAACTCTAGTACTTCATTTGGAGGTTAGGGAATTGGATCCAGATTGGTATATCAGTCAATTTAGTAGTATCAATTGCCTTACCAGAGACCCACTCCTGAACCAACATAGGTTTGTTATCAAAGAAATAGTACTTACGTTTGCTTATCTCATTTCTCTCCTCCACAATTTTAAAGCAGACATTGAACTGACCCTCTTTCACAAACACTACATCAACAATGTTATACTCCTTCCAAATTCGATTAACAAAGCCTTTAAATACCTCTAGAGGGGGATTAGCCCCTAGAACGCAGCAAACTACAACTTGATCCCATATTCCACAGTCTTCAATTATATCCTCCTTTGTAAATTTTGCAACCTTTTCCCCCTATCACTTCTGATTGGATGTATTTAAGATCTTCTTGGTAACTTTAGTACGTCTGCATATGATTTTGGATGGATACCATCATTGGCCTCCTCTTTCCGCTTCTCATTTTCAGTACTTGGAGTAGCATCCTTCTTCTCGGACTGCACATCTTCCTTCATTTTCGGTTCCCAGATCTGCTTATTCTTTCCATCATCGCTACCAGCTGCCTTGTTTTCTGCTGTGTTGCGAGAGCTGCCGGTTCGAAATCCAAGAATAGCCTGTGATTGATCGATCGGCGATCCATTCTTCCTATGCCTTCCCTTCATCTTCGCCATAGAGAGAGAAATCGGAAAAAATTCAAAGTTCACTTACTTGGTGAGTGTGTTTTAATGTAATAGATTATTCATGAAATCAGTCATATATTTTTGGGCAGTTTGGAATCCATACATAAAAAGAGCTATACCTTTTTTGGGCAGTGTAAAATTCACACATGAAAACAATCATACGCTTTTTGATATTGTAGAATTTATACATGAAAACACTACCACATAAAACAATGTACATTACACTCCAACATGAAATTAAAGAATACAATTATACACTTACACACTGCTGTAAAATATAACAACATATATCCATTATACACCGCGACATTAAATATTCACATATAAAAAATCACACTGCCCACTACACAGTTACAAGTGAACGACCACACTACCTAGAACAGTCATATTTTTTGACAATGTATAATGAATATTTGCTGTTTAATTTAAGGACAAAATCAGAATCACAGGTACAAAATGTATAACACTGCTATTTAGAGTATTTTAAGGCTCTAAGAGTGCTATTTTGGTTTTCATCTCAATTTTCTTTGCATATTTTGTTGCTAATTTAACTATTAAAATGTTTGTGCTAATCTCAAATAGATCAAAAGTAAAATTAATTAAATCTTGGTATTTTAAATTTTTAGAAACATTTTTTAAAATACAGTTATACATCCAAAACTCGTGTTTAGTTTTTTAGAATAATTAAATATTGTAAATACTAAATTTGAATTAATGAATTTTGAAAAGGTAATTAATCATTTTAAGAGAATAGATGAAAGGAAAGGAAGAAAAAAATTGAAGATGAAAGAATTTTTTGAGTGCTATCAATTTGATTAAAATATAACATCTATTCATACTTTTTTCAACATAATGACACAGATGAAGTAAATTTCATTTTTTTATTTTTTCATAGAAAAAAGAACAACTATAAAGGTACTATTTTTTTGATTTGGAAGAATTAACTTCCAACTTCTTCCGATCCTTTTTATTTTTACTAATTCCTAGTTTCTTCTAACAACGACTTAAAAGATATTTAATAACATTATATATCTTAATTTATAACATATCACCTTAAACATTGAAAAGATGAATTTTTTTATACTCCTTATATAATTAAAGTTTTCTTATTCTTTTATTTGGATGAATAGAAAGAGTTTGAAAAAATCATTCAATAATTCTTTTCAGTTTTTAGGACTTGGGTAATGTTTTTGCCACCGCCTGAACACGATTTCGAAATCTATGATTTCTTTCATATAGATTCCGAAGCTAATTCATCGGCTCCTCATACCCTACAAATCTATAGAAGGTGAGTTCTATCCTCTTCGAGCCCTATTTACGCTCTGGCAGATCACCCATGGCGAGAACGAGCCACGAAGATGAATACCTGGAGGATGAATTCGTCGATGATGCTGTAGACGAGGAGGAGGAAGAGGAGGAGGAGGAAGAAGACGACGACGACGACGATGAGGAGTACAGCCACGGGGGGAAAGCAGGCAGGAAGCGGACCCGATCTGATTTTATAGACGATGTTGCCGAGGAAGACGACGAGGAAGACGAAGACGAGTATGGAGGCAGGAGGCGCAATAAGAAGAGCGGGGGCCGTTCTTTCAGTTCTCGTAATCTGATAGATGACGAGGCCCAAGTGGACAGTGATGAGGAGGAGGAGGAAGATGACGTCGAAGATGGTAAGAACTTATGAACAAGAATTTGCTTCAGTGATCTATTTTCTTTTGTTTGACTATATGATGATCACATGAATTTCTTCAAGTTCTCATTTTTGGGGGCTATTTTTTCAACATATGCCTGTGGATCATTGAATGTTTATAATTTAGTGAAAATACCCGGGTTGAAATGGATGGGTGCCTTACTGATTGAACAATGGAAAACCCTAGAGATTTTGTATACCATGACACATCTGACTCTGTCCAGTTATCCCATTTTCTTAAGTACAAATATCTCTAGAAATTTATGCTAATTGCACCTCCTTGTGTTATCTTACATTTGCTAGTTAGATTGATTCCTTAGTTGAATATCAGAAACTTGTTCCTGTTTATTGGGAAGTGTGCCACCATCATATGGGTTTTAGGTTTTAAAATATCTGTATATGCAATTTTTTTCTGATTCTGGATTTGTGTGAGGTGAGACACATTCGAACAGAACTTTATGGATAAAAAACGTACCAATGGAGGTATGTTTTTGGGGTGAAATGTAAATGTTGAATTCTAGGTGTCTATCGTTATATAGTGAGGAAGTTAAGTTTTATAAGTTAGGATTTTAGCACATAACTGTGGTTGACTATAGCCCCCTTTAAGTATTGTAAAATTCTAAGATTTTCTATTATATCCCGAAAGATCCAGAATATGGAGAAGACTGGGGCTTAATTAGCTGTAGTAGAGCAGAGGCTGGAAGCTGTTAAGATGTTTGGGTTGCCAAGGTCAAGGGGCTTCCATAACTGGAGTAGTAGAATTAATACTGCAATTCTACAGTGCTGTTGTCTGCCTGTACTTGTGTTTCTGAATTAATGAGGGATGGCTGTAACATCAGTTAGAATTACACTCTCTACAATTTTATCTTCTTTCCTCTTTCTGATGAGGCAGTTTGATGATGGCTTTTGTTCTCCACTATGAGGCACATTTTTTAAATAAAATAAGCTGTAGTATTCCAATCTTAAATTAAACTTGAACTTGTATTAGTCACAACTCCGGTACTCCCTCTGCCCCTGGTAATTTCTCTTTAGACCTTTGCGTACATATTCATTAAGCAATAAAGTTTTCTAGATTCAAGATAAAACACACACAAGTATGTGTGTGTGCATATATTTGTATATGTATGTGATTTTATGTATATAGTTATATGTGTATGCTATAGTATGAGCGGACTACCCATCATCAATGTCAAAAAGATCTATTAGATTAGATACTTCGGAACATTTAGAGATGAAGGAGGTCAGCAGTAATTGAAAGCCAGCAATTAATGTTTCATTTGGAAGTCGTGTTTATTTGAGAACACATTTTTCCTCACCTACACTTATTAAGAGGGTGCTTTGTAGGGAGGTTTGGGAATGTGGGATGGGGTGGATTGATTATTGATAGTCTGTGATAAGCAAGTTCTTCACTACAGTGGTTACCGGGGCACATCATTTCATGAAGTATATCCTCTATACCTCAGTTTGTTTTATGTTTTTCAATGGTAATAATGGGCATGAAATTCTCTTATATTGATGCTAATGACAGTATCTCTGAATGCACAGGCTTCATCGATAATGATGCCGATTTACGTGATTCAAGAGAGATCCACCGGCGCCCACTTCTACCCCGTGAGGACCAAGACGATGAAGACGTCGATGCCCTTGAAAGGAGTATTCAGGCTCGATACGCGAGGTCAAGTCATGTAGAGTACGATGAGGAGGCAACTGATGTAGAGCAGCAAGCTCTTTTGCCATCTGTCAGAGATCCAAAGTTATGGATGGTGAAATGTGCGGTAGGTATTGCATCTGGTTTTTTGTTTCACATGAAATAGGCCTTCTTTACACAATGAGCCTTTGACAATGTAGATGGGTCATGAAAGGGAGGCTGCTGTCTGCCTGATGCAGAAGTGCATCGACAGGGGACCTGAGATTCAAATTAGATCTGTTGTAGCACTTGATCACCTTAAAAACTTTATATATATTGAAGCAGACAAAGAAGCACACGTGAGGGAGGTATGCTAGCACATATGTAATTTACTATGCCTTGTGAAGTTGAAATCTATAAAATAATCTCAAGAGATTCTTTCACCAACACTGACCATTTAAACTTTTTTTTGGTTTTGGTTATAGGCTTGCAAGGGCATGCGCAATATATATCCAGCAAAATTAATGCTTGTACCAATCAAAGAAATGACTGATGTCCTTTCGGTTGAAAGCAAAGCAGTTGACCTTGCCAGGGACACTTGGGTCAGAATGAAGACAGGAAATTATAAAGGGGACCTTGCAAAGGTGGTCAAAGCTAACAATCTCTTTAAATGCGGCTTCGTGAGTGTATTTTCTAATATTTGCAAGTTTTCTTTAGGTTGTAGATGTAGATAATGTCAGGCAGAAAGTTACGGTGAAGTTAATTCCGAGGATTGACTTGCAAGCTCTTTCAAACAAGTTGGTATGTGCACCAGATTTGCTACTTTTGCTCAGACTTTCAGTGTTTGGCGTGTCATAGGTTTATTTTAAAAATACCCCCGCCCCCAGCCAAGGTATTGATTAAGGCTTTCTGTGGTTATGTAGGATGGGAGGGATGTTCCAAAGAAAAAAGCGTTCATTCCTCCTCCACGTTTTATGAACATTGACGAGGCTCGGTAATTTTCATTTTGCTACTTTATATTAGAGAGATGCTTCAGGGTGCTACGTTTGTTTCATTATGTATGTCCTTATTTTCAGGGAGATGAATATACGTGTTGAGCGGAAAAGGGATCCAATGACGGGTGACTATTTTCAATATATTGGGGGAATGATGTTCAAAGAAGGGTTTTATTATAAAACAGTGTCTATGAAATCAATTAGCACTCATAATATTCAGCCAAGTTTTGATGAACTTGAGAAATTTCGTCAACCTGGTGAGAGAGGGGATGGCGACATGGCTGGTTTGTCAACTCTGTTTGCGAATAGGAAGAAAGGTCACTTTATGAAGGGTGACCGCGTCATTGTTGTTAAAGGGGATTTGAAGAACCTGCAGGGATGGGTTGAAAAAGTTGAGGAGAACACGGTTCACATCCGACCGAATGAAAAGAACCTTCCAGTATGAATATTGATCAAAATATTGATCTTCCCCAACTCCTTTTGAGTATTCAACACTTCAATTACAGTGAGTCATATTGGTTCAAAGAGATTTGATCAGCATTTTGCTATGGCTTTGACAGACAACTCTTGCAGTTGGGGACAAAGAGCTTTGCAAGTACTTTGAACCTGGAAATCATGTGAAAGTTGTATCTGGTGCATCTGAAGGTGCAACTGGTATGGTGGTTTCAGTTGAGGGGCATCTGGTAAACTTAGTGTCTGATACCACTAAGGAACTTGTAAGTTAAACTATTTTTAAGCTTTATCAAAAAAGAAAAATTAAACAAAGCTTCACACATTTCTTTATTTTTTAAATTTTTACATTGCACTTCTCTTTCATAGTTTAATGTGAATTCATACATGTTTCTCATGCTATCTTCAGATCTGTGTGTTTGCTGACACTGTTGTGGAAAGTTCAGAAGTAACGTCTGGTGCCACCCGAATTGGGGACTATGAGCTCCATGACCTTGTGCTGCTAGCGTAAGCAGTGTGTCGACCCTTCCTCTCTTTATTCCCTCCCAACAGTTTAACCTTTCGGCCTCTGAAGCATCTATGGCTAAGCGTTTGTATTTTAATTGTTATACAGCAATAGGAGTTTTGGCGTGATTATTCGTGTAGAGTGTGAAGCTTTCCAGGTTAGAAGAGTAATTTCTAACAGTGAATTAATCACTATACAGTACAAACACAGATTGCTGACAATATTTTGGTATGACTTAGGTTCTCAAAGGGGTTCCAGAAAAAGCTGAGGTAGCACTTGTGAGATTAAGGGAGATAAGAGGCAAGGTCGATAAAAAATGGAGTGCACATGATAAGTATAACAATGCATTAGCAGTGAAAGATGTGGTCAAAGTTCTTGAGGGACCTTGTAAGGTGTGCATTGTTTCTTAAGTTTGTTTCATTACTACTTGAAGTCTTGGACTATGCTTTATCACACTTTTAATTGTCTTCTCATTCTTAGGGAAAGCAAGGTCCTGTTGAACACATATACAGAGGTATTGTGTTTATTTACGATCGTCATCACCTGGAGCATGCTGGTTTTATATGTGCCAGAGTGGAATGTTGTGTCTTAGTTGGTGGATCACGAGCAAATGGCGAAAAAAAAGTAGGTACCTTATGATCTTGATCATGGAATCTTTAATATTAGCTCCAAGCCTCCTTTTTTATCTTCACATTTCCCCATTATGGTGTGTCTCTAAACATTGTTATCACGGCGCCCTCTCGATCTTGCCTTGATGATTCGACTCCCCTAATTTTCAATTCCTCGCCTAGGCGTCGCTTTTCCGAAGACTTGGCGTCCTGGCGCAGGGCCTTTATCGACTAACGCCATGAACGTGGCAGTCTAATTCCAGATCTGGATCTTCTAATTCTACAACACCACAGATCGACTTAGGGTTTGCGAGAGACAGCCGACCCGATAACCCGACCCTTCAACTTTGACGGAATTCCCAGCGACTAGCACTATTCCCGTATGACTTTGACTTTGCATTTCAGGGTTTTCAGCTTCTCTTAAATTCCCAGCTACTAGCACTTCCTATTTTCCTTTCAACTTGGTATGTGTTATGTTTTACCGTATATTTTCTTAAATTAAAAGATGTCTTCTATTAGTGTTTTCATATTTTATTTTCTATTTTTGAAAAAAAAACATATAATATAATATAATATAATACTCCGTATAATATAATATAATATAATAATGTACACACACAGAAATACACACACACACACACATTATTTGTCGCCTAATGGTTGCCTAGGCGCTCGCGTAGGCATCATCGCCATACATTCCTCGCCTTGGCGCCGTGATAACTATGTCTCTAAATAATTCCTTTTCTCCTTACAATGAGTTGTCATTGCTCTTTCTTCATTCCTGCATAACTGTCAACCATTCAACCTATATTTTCTTAAATTCCGTGGCCAGTTGAGCCCATTGCACTAAATGGGATGAAGTGAGTATTATTGCAATTGCTACTCCTTCCATCCCTTTAATATCTTCAGATATGACTTCTCTCAATTTCATACTGGAAACTGCATGGTTGAGATATCTCTAGATGACAGAGAAACAATATTAAATGCAGAGGCAGAATCCTTCCTAAAAAAGAAAGTTAAGCTAAATTTTGGGGAAGGCAAAAAAAAATTCAAGATACAATGGGGAAAAAGGGGTGCATTACTTTCTTAAATCTTTATGTGATCACTATGAGGCTCTAACGTCTTAAGTTTGCAACTTCAGGCTGACCCCTTTTCGTCAAGGTTTGGGAATCTTAGAATTCCACCTCGAGCCCCACAGTCTCCGATGCGATCATACCGGGGCGGTCCTCCAAAAAATTGTAGGTATTTTGTCTTCAGCATTTTCAGCTGTATTCATCCAAGTTCAGTTGTTGCTTTCTCCTTTTTGTCTTTCTTCCTTGCTAGAAAGTTGAAACTATATCAATATCTCATTACTCATGATTTACCCATATTTTCCCCACATCAATATTCGACAACCTCATTTCTTTAACATCTAAACTTGGATGCTTTTTAGTTGGAGGAAGGCATAGTGGTGGTAGAGGTAGAGGTGGTCAGGATGCTTTAATTGGTGCTGCTGTTAATATTCGCCTTGGGCCGTTCAAGGGGTGCAAAGGGAGAGTTGTTGATTTGAAAGGAACTTCGGTTCGGGTGGAGTTGGAAGCTCAGATGAAAGTTGTCACAGGCATGTTCCCTATGTCACAGTACATATCACCACATTATTGTTTACCCTATGCCTTTTTTAATGTATTTTAAGTTATTTGCAGTTGAGCGTGATTATATTATGGATGTAAATGTCCGAGCACCTTTCAGGTAAATATGCTTTTACTAGTGTTTGGTAGAGCTATATGGTCATTAGTTCTAAATGTCTGCTACTTTTTCTAGAGAACCATCAAGATATGGTTTTGGAAGTGAAACCCCGTTGCATCCTTCACGTACCCCACTTCATCCATTTATGACCCCCATGAGAGATCCTGGAGGTAATATCTATATGTCAGCTTTCTTTACTTTCAATGCGCTATCAAGTCATTTACTTATTTTTCTCATCATTTAACTTTAACTCCAACGATGTTGGGATTGATTATATCAAATTTACAGTGTCAATCAATTGTGTAATCTTAGTTTACATTATGTCATGTCCAATTATAGAATTCGTATTTTAAAGTCTACATGCCCATAATGGAATATGGCATTTTTTTACATGTAACATGTTTAACCTCTCTTACGTTCTTTCCTTTTTCTCTTAATTTTCTTTGCTTATTCTATTAATTTTCTTTCTTTATGTTTTTTTTGTTATGATAGCAACACCTATTATCCATGATGGCATGAGGACACCAATGCGTGACCGAGCATGGAATCCAATGAGTCCTCCTAGGTAAAAATCGAATGTCCTTATTTAGATTACTGAAGCTAAATATGAATACTTTCTTTTGCTTTGGTGGATGCTTCTATGAGCTTGTTTGCTTGTAGTGTCAGTAGGGGCGGATTACGTTTCCTTTATCCATTTGGTTTCCAGCTTTGCGGTACCTTCCAAAACCTATGGAGATGTTTCTATATTTGATTTTAAAAGAAATAAGGGGAATTTACTTAAATATCACTAAAACATAATGACTTTTCGTAAATAGCATCAGATGTGTTTTTCTTCCCCAATGTAGCACTTTTAGTCATTATGCATTAGTCAATATTCAAGTAAATATTTGCCATCACTGGACATTATGGACATTATTAAGTGCTATTTAGGAAAGAAAGCAATTTAAGTGCTATTTAGGGAAAAGACTTAAGTTTTAATGCTATTTAGTGCAAATGTTTCAAGAAATAATGCACTTGCCATGCCATGGAGCTGAGAGAGCTTAGGCAAACCCTATAAAGACAAAATAATAACTTGTCCATGCAATTGCCCTGGAGCTGAGAAAGTTATATTTTGTCAATGTTTTATCTTTGGGAAAATGATGGACCAAATTGAAGTGGCACATTAAGCTTTCCCTCATTTTCTACTTCGTTTTGCAAAGTGACTGCATCAATGCATCATGGGTCTAATACACTCAGCCTCTCTGTTTAACAGGGATAAGACTCTGCACATGTTAAGTTCTTAACCCCCTAGACCCCAATGAACTTGTAATTTATAGGGTTGTTTTTTTACTTGTATCCATTTAGTGGTCGTGCACAATCTTGTTTTGCATGAGTGGTTGTGACTCGGACATCTTACTGAAGTGTTTATACCTGTAATCTATCATCTCATTGAGTTCACATATTGTAGTTACTTAACTATTTTATTTCGGTTCAATTGATCTGCATGCCCGAAATCTTTCCGCAAATGTGCCTATGCCCTATGCAATATGTGCTTAAGGCACATAGGACAAACTTGTGGAACCTGATTCTCTTTGTAACATAAGTTTCTTAATTTCTTCGGTTATAGTTGAGTTAAATTACTCAAAAACAAAATGAACATTATGGTTTTTTTGTGCTAGGGACAATTGGGAAGATGGCAATCCTGCTTCTTGGGGTTCTAGTCCTCAGTATCAGGTTTGCCACTTTTTTGCTTTTATATGTTTTTCCGGAGAGCTTCCCAATGAATGCAATATTGATTTTACTTTTCTGTTTTAAGCCTCCAAGCCCTCGTTCAAGGCAGTATGAGGCACCCACTCCAGGTTCTGGTTGGAACAACTCTTCTACGGGTAGCTATAGTGATGCGGGGACTCCAAGAGATAATAGTTCTTATGGTAATTAGATGGAAATGTTCATTTTACAAGTCGGAGTTCTGACTTTTGGCTTGATTGCATAATTATTATTGCACGTTGGAACATTTTCACTCAATTCTTGTTCATTGTTATTAGTGTAATTGTTGTTCTTTGAATGTAGCTAATGCTCCAAGTCCTTACTTGCCATCAACTCCTGGCGGGCCACCACCTATGACCCCAAGTTCTGCATACTTGCCTGGAACCCCTGGTGGCCAACCAATGACTCCTGGGAGTGGCAGTCTGGATATGATGTCACCTGTAGTAGGTATGTGTTGCCCTATCTGTCTGAGCTTATTCTACAGATACAACATGCATGCAACGTATACGAGCACTAACATTGCTAACCCCTTGCAGACAGGAACCATATTAATGTTGTTGTATCCGTGTAGGGAGAGAGTAATTACATGGACCACAAAAACTTTTCCAAAAGCAGATACTGGAACCTTTATTTTGGACAAACGAAAAGGAAATGTGGAACCTTTTTTTGGGATGGAAGGAGTAATTAAATAGCATGTGCTTATGTTTTCCACCTATAGCTGGATACAGATTACTGTGATTTAGTGTCAGGGGTCTAGACAATTACAAAAATATAGATTATCATATCAGGTAAGGAAATTGAAGTGAGCGACCTATCCTAATTTTTAAGTTAGGTAGTTAGCTCTACCCCAAAGGCCCAAATGAGGAAGTTAGGTAGTTGGCTAAAGGTTTGCCCTCTATTAATTTCCTTCACTTTTCTCATGTAGTGTACCCAAAGTTTTGCCCTCTAATAAGCTCCTTTACTCTTTGTTCCTTTACAAATGAACTGGATCTTTGCTTTGATATAACAAATTGAAGTAGTCGTTGAATTGGTTAGTTGTCAATGATACTTATGAAATATTACATTTCAGGTGGAGAAGGTGAAGGGCCTTGGCTACTGACAGATATTGCAGTAAATATACGGAGGGTTGGGGAAGAGAATGTTGTTGGGGTAATACGGGAAGTTCATGCGGTACGTTATGTTTGATTATCTTTTAATTGTGGAATGTGTGAACCCCCCCCCCCCCCACATGAGATCCGTTTTTCAAGTGATTTTTTACTCCACTTGTCATAAAAAAGTCATGTTTCAAACCCAATATGGAGGTGTTTGCTATTGATTGTTGAAACAAAGTTTAGTTTTAGGTTTCACGGGTATATTTTTACATGGAATGTTGATGTTTGCCAACACCCGGGAAAACTCCAGCTTATTCCCTCCACATATTTATGCTTGAATCTTCTTTTTGGAGAAGTTAGAAGTTACAGCTTTTCTGAAGCTGCTTTTTTTCAAACAATCTTCAAATCTATATTTTCTAATGTCTATAACAATCAACCTCTATGTGTCCCAAATAAGAGTTCTCATTGAACCAACAAAGCTGCTACTTTTAGTTCTCTAACAAAGGGTCATAGACAACTTAATACGATGAGTTTATGTAAAAAGACACATAAAAGGTTAAAATATATGCAGGCTTTGAGCTTAGGGGTTGCATTGGTCCAAATTTGGACTGGACTGGGACCGTGTAAGGCTCATTTCTTGGACCAGAGACTGGACTGGATGTAGTTAGACCAGACTGGATTGGACCACTGAACTCTGGACCATTTCTCGGACCAGAGATCAGACCAATTGAGGAACATTTGTTTGTACTCTGTATTTTATTTAAAAAAACATTATTTTATCCCTTTCATTAGAAGTGTCCTATTGCATAGATGTGCAATTATTAACCTTTGGTGAGGTACTTATTCTAAAAATTGTCATACACCATTGTTTTTTTTAAACACATAAAAGTAAAACATATGCTCTCTCCATGTCACAAAGAATTTTGTTACTCTCTCCATCTCAAAAAAGTTCACTTTTGGACTCAACAACTGGAGATGTTATGAGCTGTTTCAACTTGCACCTTTTAAAAAATGCATACTAAATCTAAATTAGTTCAGGTGCATCCCAAAAGTTTGCAATTATATCGTGTTTTGAGTGATACAATTGGTCTTCCCATCGTTTAGTACACTAACTTGATTACTTGTCTTCGTTACTTATTGAGTCACCTGCGTACATGCCATGCCAAAAATCAATCGGCATTTTTTTTTGTGAGTTCTGGATCATCATTATTCACTCCCCACACTTATTACTTCAGGGCTTCAATTGGGATGCTTGTAGAGTTGTGTGTGTGTGATATTTTAACACCCATTGTATGTGTCACTGTTTTGTACACTGCATCTACCACTAATAACACTGCAAAACTTACTGTAGGATAGGAAGGCATAGACACATCATCACCCACATTAAATTTTACAAGATTTTGAACTCGATGACTAATGACATAAAATCAGTGCTGTTCTTGAGCAAATGGTTTCCTGTATATAATTGTTGTGTGAATGTTTTCTGCGATCCAGGACGGGTCTTGCAGTGTTGCCCTTGGTTCAACCGGTAACGGGGAAATAATCACTGCGTCCCCTAACGAAATTGAAATCATTGCACCGAAGAAATCCGAAAGAGTCAAAATTATGGGTGGCGGTCAGCGTGGGGCCACCGGGAAGCTTATTGGAGTGGACAGTGCCGATGGAATCGTTAAGGTGGACGATACGCTGGAGGTGAAAATATTAGACATGGTTAACTTGGCCAAGTTAGTACTGTAGTTTCTTGCCATTGCAAGATGCCAAATTTTTGCCAATGGCTTTCAATATATCTGCCGGCCTAGTATAAATTATATACATATGCAGATTGTGTAATATGTATACATTTATTCATATATACATCATTTTATTGTGTGGGATAATAAATGTGTAATCGATTGAAATTGGTCCTTTTAAGCTTTTTGTACACTCTCTCCGGTACCTTTTTTTTAAAAAAATTGCATTAAATAGCACTAGAGTTTAAGTCATTTACCTATACAGTATGTATTTAAACTATTTTATTCCCTAAATATCACTTAATAATATCCATAATGTCCATTGATGGCGAACATTTACTTGAATAATGATTAATGAATAATAGCTAAAAGTGCTACATTAGAAAAAAAATACAAGATCTTATTTAGGGAAAGTCATTACGGAGTATGTTTTAGTGTAATTTAAGTAAATTCTTTTTTTTCTTTTTTAATAACTATTTTTTTGTGTAAAAAATGTTAGTGTAAAGTTTTATGATCGTATTGACATTTTATTTCAGTATGTACCATTAGAGTGTCGGTGTAATTTCTTGATGTGTATCCAGTACACGTAGTGGTGTGCAATTTGTCCTTAATATTAACAGAGATATACTCTCTCTGTTGAATAATAATGTTTTTGTTGCGCGTTTTGATGCTTGACTAAAATTTTTTCAAATTATTTTATATAGACTTATTAAAACTACATAAAAAAATTTACAAAACTAGAAGTGACATGACTATATATTTTATTACGTAACAAATAGGCAACAAAAATATGCAAATAAAGTGAATAAAGTGACCCTGTTTCAAAATTAAAATTCCAAATTAACTCTATACTTAATTATTTTAAGGCAAACCTGATGATGACATTTACTTGCTCCCTTTGCCTTCACATAAAAGGCAGTTGAAATAAAATAGATGAACAAGTGATGGAAAAGATGAAAAAGTAGGAGAAAAGATTTTAGAATAAATTTTCAAAATTGTACAAAATAACTATTTGTTTTTGTAAATTATTCTTCAAGATAAAATAATTATCGAAACGGTACTCGTTAATCGAAAAATAATATTCAATTTATTTCTCAAACTAACGGCCATCAAAACGTCTAAACAATATTAAAACTCATTCTAATTTTTAGAATTGACATTTTTAAATGTGTGTATTTCTCAAATTAGTCCATTTTCAAAATAAAAACTCATTAAATACGAAAAAAACTTTAAATTTAATAGAATGAGAATACAATAAATAAATAAAAAATAAATATAATCAAATAAATTTGAAAGTAAATACTTCAATTGTTTACAATTATAGGAGTATAAGAGTATCATGTAAATAAAATATTTGATTAACGTTAAGTTTCCATCTTTAATGAGTTTCTATTTTAAAAATTGACTAATTTAGAAAAAATCTAATTAGACCAAATTAGGAAGGATCATTTTAGGAAATAAGTACTCCCTCCATCCATGACTTGATTACAATATTCCCTCTCTTTTGCACCAGTTCACTCTTCTCGCTCCACGCTTAGATCTATTCTCTTTACTCACCTCTTTATCTCCTCACCTTTTCCTCTCATCCCCACTTCATCTTTTCCAATTTCAATTTTGCTCTCTCTCCCTCCCTCCCTCCCTCTCTCTCTCAAATCCTAACCTTTACAATTATGATTCGTCTATGTGGAATCGCGATGCATCTATGCCCAATTTTTATCCCTTGTCGCAAGAATCGCGATCCAGATCTAGATCTAGTTGCCTTCTACCTCCGAAGTAAAACTTGAGGTGCGTGTTGAATCACCATGCTACACTTCTGAGACTAGCCCTACTTAGAGGTTTAGAAAGAAGTACAACTCTGTGGTTGTAGAAGACTCATATGAGGGTTTCATCAATGAAGAAGACGTAAGGGAAGAGGTGAGCTCCGGGTATTACCCGAAAAAGATGACATGCGATAATTATTTTTCATGGACATCCCTAAAAAAAAACCTCTTAGTCTTGATCTGTGCAGTATACCTTCTTTTAGGTCTTTTCTTACTCATGGAGGAGAGTTATGTATTTCGTTGTGACTGATGATGAAAGGAAGGGTTATGTTTCTACATTAAAATTCATGTTAAATTGACCTTCAACACTGTCTGGTATAGCTTGGGACATTTTGCTTGTTCTATGAATGTCCTTGTGTGTTTCGCCCACACTTTGACAGAGTACCTGAGATCTGTGATGGCCTTAAAGTTTAACATTATACCAATATTTGCCAACCCTTAAACGAATTCTAGTTTAATAAACTAAATTCCAGTTTAAGGTACTCCTAACTAATCCTTGAATTAGGCCTATTCTAAGATATAATTTTCAAAAGAGGTTTTCAAAATCTTAAACTTACCTTCGCTTAAGGTCAACCAGAAACCGGACAGCGGAATGCGCACTGCGGGTTGGGTGGCATCCCAAACGAGTGATCCTCAAGTTTGGTTTGTAAATCCCGTACGTAGATTTTAACTCAGGCCATCGAATATTCATATTTTTACCTGCAAGACCTATTTCTAATATATTCTAGAGGTCTTCTAGATAGTATTAGAAACCAACATTAATATGGATATATCTTTGAGTTCTTCTAGATATCCTTAGTCATTAATCATGTTTCAATCATTAACAATACTTATTTTAATCAGTAGGTTCATCATTCATAATCATCCATAATAATCATTTATCATAATCATCATATAACATAACATCCAATAGCAAGTGGCGGCCTAGTTTCGAGTGTTAACACCCAAACTTACCGTCATGCATCAAATAAGATTATATTTGTTAAAAACATAATGTTCATGGTGAAAAATCATCTTTATATTGTTCATAATTAATTGGTATCAAAAATAGGATTTTAGAGCTCAAAAATAGCATTTTCGGAAGTATTTTCGGGTCAGAATTTCGGGGGATCGATCCAGCCCTCTAGATCAATCCATGTGTAGAGAAAATACTCCCAGGAGATCGATCCAAGCTCTTGGATCGATCCTAACAAAGTTTTTCTTGGTCACTGTCCATATTTTTCTTCGTTCTGGTCCAATTTTGAAAATCCCATTTTTAGTCACCGAACTTCAAGTAAACTATATAAATGTTCTCCAAGTTTCATATATCACTTGGATATCATTAATTCATAGTTTTAACAACAATTTCATGATTTATGATTCTTGGTTTCTTCAAGCATGTCAAACACAAAGCTCAACCAAATGACCGTTTATGAACGTAGAAACAATATATAAAAACATTCTAGTCGCTAGATATATCTACGGGCTTACCTCGAAGCTTATCGAATGTTTTAGAAGTTTTCCGGCTAAACTTCCGGCGAGGTTTGTGGCTAGCTCCGGCGACTTCACACCAAATTGACAGCACCATTGCTTTCTCCACACTCAAATCTAACTCTCAGAAGAAATTTGAGAAGAAATAGTGAAGAATTGAGTAGAATGGGTGGCCTTATATAAAGGAGGAAATTGAGAAGAAGTCAATAGGTGATGTATGTAGTTCTTATTTTGGCGTCTTAGTGGTAACAGCTGCGATATTCACGATTTCAAACGCAAGTTCATGATTGGGACTAATTTTGGTCCGAGTCGAGGTACATTTTTTTGTCCAACTTTCTCCGAATTGAAATCCGTTTGCACCGTTGCGATCGGACATTTAAACTCTATCTGACGGTATAATTTAAATATTTATTTGTAATACTTTTCCGACATCATAGTTTTTGGTGTTTGATTTCAACAGAGTTAAAATTGAGTTAATTGACCTTTATTCAAAAAAAAGTTCTCATATTTAATTCATATAACTTATTTTCATGATTTATTTCAATAAATCATTTCCAAATTTACATCATAAACATATCTTTCATGGGCAAGGTTCAAATGACATTGAACCTTGATGTCATGGGATGACCCGGGGGCGCTCCGGTGCCCGGTTCGTAAAATTGACGATTCCTACCCCCTAACCCCCCCGGTAAACCCCCCACTCGGCCCCGACCCGAACGGGTACCGGAGCGTCAATTTTAGGGGGGGGGGGTAGGAATCGTCAATTTTACGAACGGGTACCGAAGCGTCCCCAGGTCATCCCATGACATCAAGGTTCAGTGTCATTTGAACCTTGGTGATCTTTCATTTATTCTTAATTTAGATTTATACTCTGGTTCCTAAATTAAGATCACAGAGTAAGTCAACATATTGAATTTATCTCTATGAGATTTATCCAGATTGTAATATTGGATATCAATATATAATTTATTTCGGCCCAAAGTATTAAAAATAATGATAGAATGAATTCACAGCTCAAATATTCATCTCATTGAATACATCTATAATGATGTCTATAAATATTACAAAGTTACTAATGAAGACAATCAAGGAAAGTGAGTGGAAGTTAATCAAATATCTTGATTGGTAATTTGATTCCAATCAAGGATATCATCAAGATATTACACTATTCCACAATATTCCTTTTTTTGTTTGATATTTCTAACACTCCTCCTCAAGTTGAATCATCCGTTTCAGATGTTTAACTTGCTTAATGTTGCTTGAAAGACTCCAGCTGGCACTGCTTTTGTGAGAATGTCTGCCAATTGATCTTCAGATCGGACATATGGAAGACTGATGATATATGCCTCGAGTTTCTATTTGATGAAGTGACGATGAATCTCGATGTGCTTGGTACGATCATGTTGTACTGGATTCTCTGATATACGAATAGCAGCGGTATTATCGCACATCAGTCTACTTTTACCCTTCGGCGGATACCCCAAATCTTTAAGGAGTTTTCTTAGCCAAAGAACTTCAGTAATTCCTCGAGCGATCCCTCTGAATTCTGCTCCTACCTAATTTTTAAAATATACTCGTAACTACAATCCATATGATCAGTTAGGTGAGTTTGGGCGCTAGGGTTCCTTTCAATCGCTTATGCCCCAATATAATTAGGCGCCCGCCTAGGCGAGTGAGCTAGGACAACCTTAATAATTTTATAGGTACTAATATAAAAGCATTTATTATGAAATAAGTAATGAAAGAGTACATACTCTAAAATAAATGAATAAACTAGTTTTTTACGTTGTGCTTTGCACATTCTTGTAAACTGGGCTCGTACAAATTATAAAATTTAAAATATTTTAAATTAATTTTATTTTGAGTAAAATAAAATTTTTTATTTTAATTTACTAATAATATATAGTGTGTGTGATATGAATATTTTTAAACTATACACATCACATTGTTTAAGAAATAAAAGTTGTAATGGTAATATTGATGTACATGTTTTTAATTCATTACTTATTGAGTCACTTGCATACATGCCATGCCAAAAAACTTACTGTAGGATAGGAAGGCATAAGACACATCATCACCCACATTAAATTTTACAAGATTTTGAATTGGATGACTAGTGACATAAACTCGCTGCTTCTAAACTATATCTGTGTTCAAGTGGATGATTTCCTGCATATAATTGTTGTGTGCTGTTCTTGAGCGAATGTTTTCTGCGATCCGGCCAGGACGGGTCTTGCAGTGTTGCCCCTTGGTTCAAGCGGTAACGGGGAAATAATCACTGCTTCCCCGAACGAAATTGAAATCGTTGTGCCGATAGAGTCAAAATTATTATGGGTGGCGCTGAGCGTGGGACCACCGGGAAGCTTATTGGAGTGGACGGCTAAAATGGGCATTTAACGCCTACTCGGCGTTAAACACCACGCCCGTTCGGGCTTCACCCGGGCGTCATCGCCCTGCGTCAAACTTTCAACGGGCAGTGGCGTTGATTTTCCCTCCTCCAACGACTATTATAGCCGTTACACCCAAAAAAGAATTCTTTAATTTATTTTTTTGTAAACATCAAACCCCAACCCTCCATCTTCTTCACATTTTCCTTTTTGCAATCTCCAATCCTCAATCTTCTTCACATATTTCCTTTCTTCAAATATTGTTAACATGAATTCTTCCGGTTCTTCCCCCGACGGTCGCGAGCCAAACGAGTACGCGATGTGTTTTTTCCAACAATACGGGCGTAATCTAGCGTTATTCGAAACACAAACATCGGTGAATCTCGATGACTTAGAGTCGGTTTCGGAGACTCAACTAGAACTAACGGGAACAAAAAAAAGTGCACGCCGGAAGAGTCAGTCACAAAGTGAAAGGCAACAAACCGATGACCGACGCGGCAAGGTCAATCCAAAAGTGGATGCCGAAGGAAGAATCCTTGTTGGCGTCGGCTTGGGTTGGCGTCTCCGAGCATCCTATCATTGGTAAAAAATATATGTTTCCTAATAATTTGTGTTCTTGTTTATATATTTATGTTAACATTTTCGTTCAATTATATACTTTTTAAAGGTTTGGAGCAAACGAAGGATGCGATTTGGGATCATATCGAGGAGAAATTCTTTGCGGTGATGAACAAGGACGCCTTGTACTGTACCCGAGACCAACTCACTTCGAAATGTGGTCACAGCAGCTGTAAAGTCCGAAAGTTTATTGGAGTTTGCAAGGAATGCTCTCGGTCCCGGAAGAGCGGGACGAATGACGCCGATGTTCTCCCGCTTGCCACAACCCGATATCAAGACGACGGGCACCAAGGCAAGGTGCCCGTCAATCTTTGGAGAATTTTAAGCCGTTCACCGAAATGGCAAGAACTCAACAATCCTGAGGCCAGATCCTCAAATAAAAGATCCTCCGCCGAGGCTGGGGTCGATGACACTGTTGGTTCGTTCGAACAAAGGTCTTCCTTCAACGTAGACAACTTTGATGACAAAGACCCCATTCCACGGCCGATCGGAAGAAAGAAGGCAAAATTCATTACCTCGGGTTCTGGAGGGTCCAACTCTGTTTCCTCTCATGACGATATCGGTCGGGCAATGATTGAACAACTTCAGGTGTTCAATATTAAAGAAGAAGAGAGGGAGAGAAGAAAGCAACAGAAAGAAGAGATCGAAGTAATAGAAACTGACCATGATATGTTATCGGGCTTCAAATGTATGATCTTCGAGAGAAGACAAAAAGAGATCAATGCTAAATATAATTTCTCTTAGTTTTTTATTAATGTTTTTTATTAAATGTTCTTTTTATTTTATGTAATTTTTATGAATTATTGTCGTTTAATTTTTTTTTAATTTAATGAATGTAATTTTGTATAAATGATTCTCGTGTCAATTTAATTAAATAATTAAATAATTGAATTTAATTAATATAAACTTAGGAGATGTGTATTTAAAATATAAAAAATAAAGGTTTGAAGCGCCAGTGAATCTATGCGGTAAGTTAAAGCTGACATGACAGAAATAGAAAGTTTGAAGCCCTAGAGCTTCAAGACCATTTCCTGTGCTCTTATATGTCTTGTGAAAATGTTTGGATTCTAGTTTTGTCTTGAGTTTAGTTATTCTAGGATTAAGTAAATAAAAAAGGGAATAGATGAAAAGAGAACACAAGAAATCTTTGATGAGTTACATTTAGGCTATGTTTTCCTCATATGCTTTGAATGGTTTCACTTTGATATGAATGTAGTTATAATTAAAGCTGTTTTTGATTTGATCTGATTCCAATAAAAATAAGTAATAAGGAGTAATAAATTGGATACATGGGCAAGAAAATGGATACATGACTTCAATCATTACAAAAAAAAAATCGTTACATGGATAAGAAAATGGATTCTGTCGCCATATGGTTATAATTTTAAACTTGGTATTGCCAATTCCGTCGCTACATCTGACGATGAAAAAATGACAACGAAAAGTCTTTTCCGTCGTCCATATAAAATCACTCCTGAATTTAAGGGGTGGCGACAGAAGTTTTCCGTCGTCCTTCTGCCAGCTTTTTGTAGTGATTCATTTTGATATTCATGCTTTAAGATAATGAAATATTAAAATTCCATTATATGCTTTATTCCTTTTATTCAATAATGACACAAAATGTATTTTCATACCGTAAATATAAGTCGGGTAATGCACGAATGTGATACTAGTCACTTATTAAGGCAAAATTATGACATTAACTTTGCCTACTTTGCCTTCATATAAAAGGTGGTTGAAATAAAAGAGAAGAAAAGGTGTTTGAAAAAGATGAAAAAATAAGAGAAAAAATTTAGAATAAATTTGTTAAATTGTACGGAATAACTATGTATCTTTCAAATTAATTTTCAAAATGAACTAATAACGGAGATGGTATTCATTAATTAAGAATAGTGCTCAATTTATTTTCCACACTAATGGCCATCAAAACATCGTCCAAACAATGTTAAAACTTATTCTAATTTTTAAAATTAACATTTTTAATTGTGTGTTTTCTCTAATTTGTTTATTTTCAAAACAAAAACTCATTAAATATAAAAAATAACTTTAAATTTAGAGTAATGCTAAACTCACAAACTTGCTATTTGTGCATTTTCCCAAATGAATAAAATAATTTTATATAATTTAAAAATAAAAATTAAAATACACAAATAGCAAGTTCGTGAAGTTTGTGTTCAAGTAATTTGTGACTCAAGCATTACTCTTAAATTTAATAGAACGAGAATTCGATAAATAAAACTATAGATATAATCTAATAAATTTAAAATTAACATTTTAGATTGTTCATAATTATTTAGAAGAATATTATGTAAATAAAATATTTGAATAACGTTAATTTTCCATCTTTAATGAGTGTTTATTTTGAAAATGAAATAATTTGAAAGAACAAACAGTTAGCAAGGATCATTTTAGGAAATTAATTTAAGTTTTTTAACACTGTTTTAAGATAAATTAACGAGTATTATATCAGTAATTAGGCACCTTATTGGGAACTAATTTAGGAGACCATATAGTTATTGAGTAGCATTTTGAGGATTTACTCAAGATTTTAAAGTGATTAAAATAAAAGGGATATAAAAATGATAGAAAAATAAGTGCAAAATTAAGAGTAATGTGATATTTTTGTTGAGGTAGTTATCCTACATAACGGGAAGGTTCAAGTGACATTGGACCTCAATGTCATGTAATGATTTGGGGGCGCTATGGTGCTCCGTTCGTAAAATTGACTGTTTCTACCCTAACCCTTCCGGTAAACCCCCACCTGGCCCCAACCCGAACACACACCCCACCACCCTAAATTGCACCCCACAAGTTTATTTTGAGGGGGGTGCAAATAATTGAGGGGGGTGGGGGGGGTGTGTTCGGGTCGGGGGCCGGGTGGGGGGTTTACCGGGGGGGTTAGGGGGTAGAAACCGTCAATTTTACGAACGGGGCACCGGTGCGCCCCGGGTCATCCCATTACATTGAGGTCCAATGTTACTTGAACCTTCACGAGTTTCGATATATCAAATTTTTATATCATTTATTCATTTAGATTATGTTTAATTTGTATTCAAATAATATCACTGTTTAACTAAAAAAATGAAAATGGTTTTAGACATTGCTATATTTACATGGAGCATGCTACATGCACCCCAAAATTTGTATACCAAAGGTATGCACCAACATTTTGATAGTTTACATTGACAAAAATTATTTGTTCATTAAAAAAAATTATCATTACATCAATACGAAATGTTAATACATCCCTATGGTCTATAAAATAAGGTACAAATATTTGAAACTATAAAGTGTATGGAGTTAGAACTTGAAGTACTCCTGACTTCAAAATTGGGGCAGAGTTAAAATACGGAGTATCGTACTGGCAACTCAAAAGTGCGCAGAGTATTTAAAGGGACCAAAGCCAATTTCGAAAAGCTGGTTTACATGATCTGCGTGGATTCATCTACAGAGAGTTTTTTGACGGAGTAGAATCCCCAATTCCCGATTAGATCGCCATCCCGCTACAAAACCTTGCTGCAATGCCTACCCTTCGAAGTTTCTTTTGCCCAAATTGAGAACAATTCTGCAAATCGGCATCTTTTTCTACCCAGATTTCTTGCTCTCTTTTCTTTTTTGTGCTTCAAATCGCCAGGTTTTCGTAGTTCTGGGTTACCCTATTCTGCGCTGACACAATTCAGCACTAGGAGCTAATCTGTTGTTTAAACTTCATTGTGAAAGATTGATTGATTGATTTCTAGATTAGAGTGGTAGCGATTTGCAAAGTACAGTGCATTGCTTTTTCCCCTTCAAAGATGGATGTTGGAGGGCATTATCAGTACAGACTGAAAAGGAAACTAGCGTATGAAGATCATAGTCAACATCCAAGGCATGAGACTTGGAGATTCAGTCAAAACCCTAGGTTCCATGAGAGCAGTGTGTATGAACCTCGTGGGAGGCAAGGTGTGCAGATGTGTAGACTTCTATTTTCTAGAGCGTGTGGGTATTTTATGTTCCGTCCTTTGTGGGGAAATCACTTCACAAGTTCATTGCTATGTTGTGCAGGGATTGGATTGGAATATGATCGTAATTCGGGTTTTCAGGGGACAAGGCAATCATATCAAGGCCCCCGGGGATTTGACTCTAGAATCAGACACAACAAAGTCAGTTTCTTTGACCCTCTTAGCATCCCCTATGGTGGGTTCTCATATCTCAATTGTTATGCTTTTTGTTAACCAATGAACATTTTGAGTTCGAAACGTTAAATTTTTTTAAGTAGGCTTTATATCTTCACTCAGTAGCAGAGCCATTGTGGTATACTTTACCCATCTCTTGGTTAGGAATCCTAGAATGCTCCGGACTTCAATTTAATATGATTGTGTGCAGGTTGGTTGAGCTGCCCTCCACATGGTGATAGCATAGGTGGTTTAATCCCATCAAAAGTTCCTCTTAGCGACGCATTCAACAAGAATATCAGTCGAATCAAAAGATACACCCCAAGTCAAGCCATTTATGATCAAAAGTGTCTGTGCAGAGAAGTAAGATTTAATGTGTTAGAGTAATTTCTTTTTCTGAGTATGCTTTCAGAAACTATAATTTGGATCTGGGAAGTTGTTATCTATTTCTGCAATTTTAGATAATGGTATATATGCTGATATTTTTGTTGTTGCACTCTTTGCTCAAGAGTAAATTGTAAATTGCATTAATTTGCTCGTCAATGTTTCAGATAGGTTTGGTTATTGACTTAACAAACACGTATCGCTATTATCCGGAGTCAGATTGGACAAGTCAGGGCATTAGATATGTTAAGGTAACAACCTTGCTAGTTGTGCATAACTCTACTTCACAGTAGATGGGTTTTGGGTTAACACACAACATTTTGTCTTTTCCAGATTAGGTGTCCTGGGCAGGACATTCCTGACAGCGAGTCTGTCAATAAGTTTGTTGATGAGGTATTTTTGCACCCTAGCATAAGCAGTGGTTTCAAACCGTATTTATTCATTTATTTTTAATTATACCACAGTATGTTCTTTATTCTTATTGTTACCCCACTTCACACTCTAAATTCATGGCTTGTTTGACCGTGTGGAAGCTTATCTTTATAGATACTTGGAATTTCAGGTTGCCAAGTTTAGATGTCAGCATGAGCACACAAATAAGTGTGTACTTGTTCATTGTACACATGGTTACAATCGCACGGGGTACATGATCGTCCATTTTCTTGTACGCAATGAAAAGATTACAGTAGCTGAGGTAGGCATATTTTTATTATTCAGTCACCAAAAATGGTTTTCTTCAAGACTTCATGTGGCCCTATCCAATCTCTCAAAAACATTATCTTTCTTTTCTCTTAATGGTGCAGGCAATAGCTATATTTTCCAATGCGCGTAGCCCTGGAATTTACAAGCATGAGTACATAGATGCATTGTACAGCTCTTATCACGAAGCGAAACCTGAATTTATTGATTATCCTAAGACTCCTGAATGGAAGAAGCAATCTGATAGGAAAGAAGATGCTGCTGTTGCTTCACATGTAAGCGAACTATATATTTTTTGTTTGTTATATCTGTTATGTGAGATAAATATAAGATTATATACTATTGTTTACCTTTTGATTATCTATGTTTGCCTCTTAGTTGCTAGGTTCCACTGACTACTAGCATTCCATTCATTGTTTATACAAGTGGTTAATATTTGGAAGGTTAAGCTCTAACTTGTATATAATTGTGAGAGTTGCTACAGCCTTCCACAATATTATTGATACCACTTAGTTTGATTGACATTTGGGAACCCTGTATCTATCCAAAACCTCAATCGTAGGCCAATTAATGGGCCTGGAGTGAATTTTCAGAGCAATTGTTACTTATCCAAAATCCAAATTCCACACTTTAATGTGATTTTGATGAATAGTTAGTTCCGTAGTGGAGAATAACATCAGGACACAATGAAGCTTGATAATCATGAGATACTTCCTGAAATCATGATCCTTTTGATTATTCTCTAGTAAATGCATAAATCTATATTACTGGACGTTTTACTTATTAATTTGTTTCTGTTTCCTTTTTCAAATCTATTTCCTTAAATTATTTACTTCACTATTTGTTGCTTTAGTATTTCCTTGTTCTTGTCTAAAAGTTATACCCCGTTATCTATATACCTATATGATATCTATAGGAGATTTCATCATTGTTAAACAAATAAGCAAAAAATGAATTAAAAAGAAACAAAGGGGAAGGATAACTCTATAATATTTCATTAAATGATATTCTTTTAGTTCTCCATTCCAAAATGTTCTTCTCATATTCCCTTTTTTTAGGCAGTCTCTAAAAGCTCTTCTCATTGCCTTTTAAAGAAAAAGTTGGGTGGTTCATATCAACTCTTTCATTTTGAAATAAATTTTAACTATACAATTCCACCACCTAAAAAACTGTGTAAACAGTAAACACAAGCAAATTAGGGCAATGCGAGTATTTTTCAGCAACCTCCGTTTTTCATTTTCCCTTTTTGATGTAACCATGATTCCATGATTTCGTTCCATAATAATTTGGTTCCGCTCTAGGTGTCAACATATGAGATGTCATGGCACTCCATTATATGGTTTAAGCGGCTCAAATAGCTCGGCAAAACTTTTAAGTTACACTGCAATGAACTACAAACACTGTAAAATGAACTCGTTGTATTGGTGGTAAATTTAACTCCTAATAACACTATTCCCTCGCCATTGTCTTAGCCATGCACCAATCTATACTACCCACATATCATCCCGTTATGTTAATTTATTTTGCACCATGCAATTTTAAAACGCTGGCAGGTCATGACATTTCATAATAGGCTTTATTAAATTGAAATCAAGGCATGTCTTTATACATAGATTCACATATAAAGAAACCAAATTAAGCAGTTAACTGATTTGTTTAAGAAAATAAAAAGTGGTATTATTAAAAACCTTGCAAAATGATTATAAAAACTGACAACAACAAAGAACAACAACCCAGTTGGATCCCACGAAAGTAGGGTCTGGGGAGGGAGTGTGTACGTCATGGTTGTTAAGTCGAAAAGTCGAGTCGAGTCGGTGAAGGGGAGACTAGTGGACTAGTCAGCCTACTAGTCGTAGACTAGTCAACAAATCACAATTAGTATTGAACTTTTTAACATTATATATATCTTCATTCACCCAAGATAACTATATATATTTATATGACAAAATATCATTACCAAAATAAAATTATGTTTAAATGTAGAACATAAAGTCACTAGAAAACTAACAAAACAGAAAAATTAAGAGTATAATATACTTAATTGTCTAATAAACCAAATTAAGCATATACTTTAATGATAAATAATTAAAGATAGAGAGATGTTACTTATGGATAGAGAGTGTGTAAGTACTAGAAGATGAATAAGAATCAATTCCAAAAAATTGATTCTGGAACTGCGAACTCTAGAAGATGTCGATGAAGGAGATGTCGCGATTTGGGAATAGTTAAATGTCGATTCTATTGATATTGATTGTGCTGATTGAACTGATTGAGGGAGGTTGTGTTTTATTGAGTAATTTTTAAAGTTTAATAAAATTTGGGTCGGGTTGGGTCAAATTGGGTTGGTTCCTGGGCAGCTTTTCTTCACAGACTAGTCATTGCCTAGGCGTCGCTTAATTCGCCCAGTCACCTAGTCTACCCTAGTCGCCAGTCGACGTGCAAGTCGCCATTCAGAAAACGCCTAGACGACTAGTCGTCGACTAGGCGACGACTTGACAACAATGGTGTATGTTTCCCCTACCCAAAAGTAGAGAGACCGTTTCCAAGGCTCAAGATACACAAAAAGAAGGATCAAAACATATGCATAAAACAGGGAAAACACAAATACAACACATAAAACACCCAACACCCAAAAAATAAAATAAAATTACAAAGTATTGCAAGCAAAGAAAATAGAACCAAGCATAAAAGGCATATCAAACACACACCAACGCCACCCCTATCACAAGGCACCTACCCAAGTACTCTAGCCCTATCTCTCCAAACGCTCATATCTAAGGCCATATCCTCACTAAAGGTAAGAAGTTCTAAATCCTGTCTAATTACCTCCTTACAACTCTTTCTAGGTCTACCTCTTCCTCTACTCCCCCTACCAACTTAAGCATCTCGCATCTTCGTACTAGAGCGTCGGCATTCCACTATCTTACATGAGCTAACCGCTATAATCTAGCTTCCAAGACCTTATCTTCCACTGGTGCCATATCTATCCGTCCTCAAATAACCTCGTTCGGAATCCTATCCCGCTTTGTCTGCCCACACACCCACCGCAACACCCGCATTTCTGCCACATGGAGACGACACACGTGAATCTTCTTAACTGCCCCACACTCCGCCCCAAAGTGCATAGCTAGTCAGACCGAAAGTATAATAGTGAATTCAATAACAATAAGTCCAAATTCAAGAAAAAACATAATAAATTATTGCGAGGACAATCAAAGAATTTAGAGATGAACACACAGATTATGAATTTATTATGTTATTGAGTTATATTTTGAATGTATGATGAGGACTTTAAGTCATACATTTTTAAATATATTTACTGAATAAAGACTAAAAAGTTTTTCAACAGGCTAGATTATTAGAAAATTTGGGGGTAAATTTCACGGATGGTACCCGGAACTTCGAGTGATATATCATTTTGGTACCTAAACTTTGTTTCCTTTCACAAAAATACCCGAACTTTGAAGAAATTTCACAAAAGTATTTGAAGCCGATTTCTAGTTTACTCTCAAGTCACTTTGGGCCTAATTACAATTTCATATTTTTATAATTTTTACTTTTGACCCACCCTTTTTCATTTTCTCATTTTCTCTCTCCTTTATTCTCCAAAAAGGGTGGATTTGGAGCTGCTGAAGAAGAATGAATAGGGAATTTGAGAACAAAGAAAAATGGTGGGGTCAAAATTAAAAGTAAAAATATATAAAATTGCAATGACACCTAAAGTGACCTAAAAGTAACTTGGAATACGGCTCCAGGTACTTTTGTGAAATTCCTTCGAAATTCAGGTATTTTTGCGAGAGGAAATAAAGTTCAGGTACCTAAATGATATTATTGCTCAAAGTTCTAGTACCGTCAATGAAATATACCGGATGATTTGAAGGCCGGGTTATGTTTAATTACATTGGACTGATATTTACAAACTATAATTTGGTTGAGTTCTAAACTTTTTGATGCCCCATAAGATTTTGATGCCGCTGCAAGTTCTCAACTTGCACTTTATCAGGGCCCTCACCCTGCTAAAACCCCACCGCAAGGTATCTCAAAGAGGTTTTTGATGGTCACATTGAAAGATCTCACTGGCAAATGGGTATTAGGTATATACAATCTCATGGGAAAAAGGTGGGAACTTGTTGTACAAATGTAGGTCATTTGTATCATAAATCTCGATCAATACAAACAATTCCTTGTACAGTTTGTATCTTTATACGCTATAATAACTATCTCAAATGGTTTTGTCCTACTACTTGATGTCTTTGAGGTCTTTGAGCTTCAGAACTGCAAAGCCACAAAAATTTTGAGGCACAGAGGCTATCAAGGTTCATGCCATGATTTTATAGATGAATTCTAAAGTTTAGCCCTCTACAAAGTTGCTTAATTTTTAAGTTGGGATTTCTGACTCCTCCAATCCCTATTTTCTTTTTTTAATTCATTTTTAAACCCACAACCCTAGTATTCTTTCTTTGAAGAAAAGAAGGCATCATATTGACTCATATGTTTCAGATTCCAACAATTATTGGCTTTGGCAGACACGTTCGTGGAAATCAACAAGTGGACCTCTTTATATCCATTATTAATAGCTGTGCTAAATGGATACAACCCAATTCTCTGGCAGAAGGAATCAGCACACCCACATGTTTCCCAGGGAAAATTAAAACCGATGGCCCTTGTACCCATCTCATCCTCTTAAGAAGCTCATTCATCCGATCTCCTGCACCTTTAATCCAATTGGCAAACAGAACAATTACGGTAACAAAGCTAAGAGCCCAAAGCACAGTTTAAGCAATAACCATTTTCTTTAAGAAAAACTCTCGTTCTAAGCCTCTCTCTCTAGAACGTTTATTAATAACACAGAAAAATACCAGATGAAGAGGAAGGCATAAACCTTGTCTCTAATGAAAAATAAGCAGCAGCACCCAAAATGGCCATGATAACAGCTGCCTGAACTAAAAAGGAAGATCCCACATAGGTAGAAAAGCCTCAAGTAACGTGTTCTGTGTAGGCCAATGTACCCGATAAAAAGAGTAGTCAATTCTCAAAGCAATATTTGAAATGGAGAAACCTAAACCCGCCTCAAGGCGCGGCATAGAACTTTTTCCGAAAATTACCGCCCTGGTGCGTATCCCGATTCACGCAATTAGCCATTTTAAGCAATTGGCTTAAAGGCTTACGCCATGGGGTGTACGCACTGGTACGCGCAATTAGGCGGACGTCATTTACCGTCTAAAAATTAGAAAATCCAAGGTTAAAGTTGTCAAACACCCAAATTAAGTGTATA